GGACGTATGGTAACCCTAGGCTAGGCTCTCTGAATTTGTGTGTGTGTGGGGGGGGGCGCCTGCTGTGACATCATCTCAGTGCGACACTCGGCTCCTGCCAGGGGCTGTAGTCTGGCTGGGCCTCGCGCTCCAGGGAGAGCCAGGAGAGGGGAGCGGCCGAGAACTACAACTCCCAGAGGCCCCTGCGACACGACCAACCTGCCCCTGTGAGGCAGCAAGCCTTCGGGGGAGGGGGGGCGCGGGCTCCGGTCCTTTGGGTGGGGGGTGTCTCTGGGCGCCGCTCGGCAGCCAGCGCCGGGCTGGGGGGCGCCCCCGAGGGGGTTGTGGACTCCAGCGCGTTGCGGTACCACCTGGAGGCTCTCTGGGGGAGCCGGCACTGTCCGGATTTGCGTCCCCCTGGGGCTGGAGCTGCGCCCCCATCCCCGGGCACCAGTCATGGGGCAAGCTGGAGGGGCCGGGGTGGCTGGCGAGCCTGGGGTATGAGAGGAGCCGCTAGTCGGGTTCAGCTGCCTGGAGGATGTTGTTGGGGTGCGTCTGCGGGACAGGATCCCCCTCTTCCCCCCCTCCCGTGTCTCCATTTACTTTCCTGAATGGAACTGGTGAAAATCAATCTGGCTGCTGCGTGCCCTGTTAGCCCTGTCTGTAAACCATGACCCAGGAGAAAACATTACCCAGGTCTTGCACCTTCATATCTTGTGAGGTGAGGCAAAGGTCAGGCTACTAGCCACGCACCCCACTCATGATACACAGCCATAAAAATACTTTATGCTTGTAGAGCTCCTTCAGCGTGAGCATCACAAAGCGGTAAGTGGAAAATCATAAATAGGTGGAAACAGATCGAGTGTAAGGCCTTGGTGGTGCATGAAAATTCTCTCATTTTAACAGTACCAGTATAATGAAAGTGGGACAACTTCCTGGTATGGACTTGGTATCAAAGTGCTTGTACCAGTATAGAATTACATCCACACTTGGGGCTGTACTGGGATAACTAAATTGGTTTAAAAAAAACTATACCCCTAACCAAAATAGTTACCCTGGCACAAAATCTGTGTGTAGAGCAGGCCTTAGTGACTTGCCCAGGGTCACCGAATGAGGCAGTGGTATAGTCAGAAATGCAGTGCCAGAAGTCCTGTACACTAACAGCTGTCCTTAATTTTTAGCAAAATAGCTACTTTTTTTCCATTCTGTCCATCCAAAAATCTGCAATTCGGTGTATTTCAACTATATTAAGGCTCTCCGAATTTGGGGGGGGGGGGTCGCCTGCTGTGACATCATCTCGGTGCGAGTTGTTAGTTTTGCTGCAGCCACTCGCATTCGGGGTCCCCCGAGCGTCTTTTGCCGGAGCGCTACCGGCTTCACGGTTTGCAAGTTACTGTACCAAATAACTAAACCAGAGAACTGTATTTAAGCGGTGAATGTGCTTTCACCCAAATACTAAATAGAACCATGGTTACTATCTGGCCCTAGCGGAATCCCTTCTCCTTGACCACCATGATGCTATTCCTACCTCATCATTATGCCTAATAATCAATATTAATTTTCATTGCATTCTCCATGGTTTAGATTTATTTTCTTGTTTAGAATAAGGTCTCAATCTTAACTGCTTATTTGTAGCATTACCACTATCATCATCATTACTATTTGTATTACCATGGATTCTTAAATAAAAATATCTCATATAGATAACCATGCCTCCCTCACTGGCAGCTTGTTTTGCTCACAGACTTTTCTCTGTTTCACCCTCACTTTGTAGGTTTTACAAACATTTTACAGTTTATGAAGCACTTAGCAACCCCCCAACCAAGATCAGAGCGGGAGGGAGGAGGGGGAATGCGGGGTGCTCAGAGGAGGGGGCAGAG